TGATCTTGGACTTCCAGTCTCCGGAACTGCAAGAAATGACTGTGTTCGCTAGGGTCACACCCCTGGCAAACTAATACCCGAAGCTGTGTTCTTCCAGAGTAGTGGTTCTCAGTCTTTCAGCAGCATCCGAATCACCTGGAGGATTTACTGACGCACACGGGTAGGCCCCACCCCCAGAGTTTCCGGTCCAGGCGGTCTGGGTGGGACTCTAGAACCTGCATGTCTAACAAGTTGTCCGGTGCTGCTGGTGCCGCTGGTGCTGCTGCTTTGAGCGCTACTCGTTAAGAAACATGGTTCTAGGGGTACAAATTAAAGATAAAGGCTGGATCTAATCGGGCAGGAGGCCTCTCGGTCTCTCCTCCCTGAGTCTAAAACAGGAAGAATTCAAACGTAAGTAAGCCTCAGGTGCGCTAACAGGAGGTGAGCGGCCCGGGGTGCTGGCCCCGAGGGAGGACACAATTGCAAAAGCTGCATCTTGCAGCAATCCCAAGCTTCAGTACATAGTGACCCTGTCCACTACTGAAACACGGCCGTGAGTGAGACCAGCAATCTTCCTGCATTGAGAAGGCCGTCAGGCGGGTGGGCGGGGGTCAGGGGTGTTCTCTCCCATCCAATCAGAGGCAGAGGACTTGGGGGAGGGGACAAAAGGACTCCCCTCTCTTGCCCTCCCTACAACCCAGGCTACTTACTGAGTCCCTGCTGCAAAGTCACACCTTAGAAGTCCCAGGCCTGGCCCTTCTCTGGCCGTCCCTTCTCAGAACAAGCATGACTGGAACCCATTCCCCCTTCTAAATCAGCTCCAAATCTGAACTCCCTGCCTGAGTGGTCCTGGGCTGCTCCCTGCACAAGCCTCTTTCCCTGGTTCTCCCAGCCGGACCACGCTGCCAGTATCCAAAGCTCTGGGCCCCAAGGATGCTAAAGGGGCTAGAACACAGCTTGGACCTAATCGTCGGGGTGTGTGAGAGACTGAGCAGTGGCTGGTAGTTGTGGTCTAAGGAGCCCTAATCTGTAGCATTTACTGATTTCCAGTGTCAATACTCCCACCCATGGCCAACTTCAAGATACCACTGTGAAGTCCACAGGCTCACAAAATTCCTGAAAAAAATACCTCCTTCTGCTGTGGAACAAAGGCAGCAGTGAGAGAAGAGCCAGGGCAGGCTGGGGGCCTGATCTGTGTTTTTGCCGCAGCCGTGCATTTGTTAGAGGTAAGCCAATGGCAACATTTCTGTATCAACTGGGATGCTGCTCTGGTCGCCACTGACTGTAACTATTACTGATGAGTTCACAAAGGAGGACCCTTCCTTCTCCCTGACAGCATTCCATGCAGAAGACAGTCCTGTCGGTTGCCTACCCAACGGCCATTCTCCAACTCCTTGTTCTTTCTGGAAGAGCTGCTGCTCTCTACAGAGGATGAAAAAGATGTTAAATACTTGCTTTCCAGGGTCCCTCAATGCATGAGACTCTATCTGGCCAGTGGGAGCTGAGAGGTGAAGTCTGCTGGGGCCTCCGGAGAAAGGCTCCCCCCTAATAAACAAGAGGAAGATCTCTCCTCTTCTCTGGACGTTGCGCTTCTGCTGTGATGCCTGATGGCGGTGCCCTCTTGCAATGTTACAAGCGTGTATCAGTTGACAAAGGAGGATCAGAAGCTCTGGGTTTGGTTTTGTTTTTATTCATTGTGATAAAATACACATCATAAAATGTACCACCTTAACCATTTCTAAGCATGCAGTTCAGTAGTGGTAAGTACAATCACACTGTTGTGCACCCAATGCCCAGAACATGTTTCATCTTGCAAGACTGAAACTCTGAAACATCTCTCCATTTCCCCTCCCCCTTCACCTCCAGGTAACCACCATCCTACTCTCTACTGTCTGTCTCTATGGATGTGACTACTCTTAAGCACTTCATAAAAGTAGAATCATACAGTATCTGTCCTTTTGGGACTGGCTTACTTCACTTAGCATAAGGTTCATCCATGTTGTAGCATATGTCAGAATTTTTCTTTTTTAAGGCTGGGTGATAGCTCCATTGCACGTCTGTGCCACGTGTTAGGATCCATTCATCCATCAGTGGACACTTGGGCTGTTTCCACCATTTGGCTGTCATGTATCATGCTGCTATAACATGGCTGAACAAGTGTCTTTTCAAGACGCTGCTTTCAATTCTTTTGGGGGGTGATCCCAGAAGTGGCCTTGTTAGATCACATGGTAACTCGATTTAAAAAAATTTTAAGGGCTGCCATACTGCTTCCACAGCAGTTGTACCAATTTACCTCCCCACCAACCGTGCACAGTGTGTCTGATGTTTCCACATCCTCATCAACACTTAGTTCCCTTTTATGTTTGATGACAGCCAATCTAATGGATGTGAGGTGAACTCCGGGGTTCTCGATGGCATTTAGAGCCACTGAACCAACCTGCATTTTCCCTGCCTCCAGGTCTTGTGTAGGAAATAAGTAATAAATATCCTTATTGTTTTACTCCCTTTTAGATAGGTCTTAGGTCTTAGGCATCTAACTGATGCACTGCCCTTTCTGTAAGACCCCAAACAGAAAGGATTAATTCTCTTCATGATTTAATTCTGTTTCTCACACTTTCCATCATATACTGCTTTCTGCATTCGGAACGTAACACTAATTTCACTCCGGGGTCAAGTTGCAATATAGAATTACTGCAAATACAAAGGAATGTTCATAACAGCTTTATCCGTAGTAACTGAAAACTGGAAACAGCCCAGATATTCATCAACAGGAAAAAAAAAAACTTTGGTACATCCATACAGAGGAATACAATTTAGCAATAAAAAGGAACAAAATTATTGTTATACATGAGTGATACAGATGAATTTTAAGACCATCACGCTGTTCTTAAGATGCTGAATAGAGAAGCCTATACCAGAGAGTCATATAGCAATGGTTCCATTCATATGGTTTTAGAACAGGTTAATCTAATCCACGGTGGAAGAAATCAGAGCAGTAGTTACTGTCTCTGTAGAGGTGGGGGTTGCCTCAAAAGGGGTATGAGGGGACGTTTGAGGGTGATGGTAATGTTCTATGTCTCAGTTGGATTTAGGGTCACAAAGGGAGAATGCATTTGTCAAAACACAGTGGTAAGCGTACCTAAAGTTATGTGCATCTGTCTATAAATCTTACATCCAAAGAACAAACTGTAAATTAATATTCAACTCTAGCAGGCTATATGCAAGCTGAAAATTTTAGGGGGCAGTTTACGGATGACTGTCATCTACTTCACTGAAGTATTTTTTAAAAACCCAAGGTGGATTGATGGATGGAAGGATGGATAGGTATGTGATAAACAAGTACAACAAAATGGGAAGGGTAGAATATAGGTGGTGGATGTCTGGGAGTTCACTGTAAAATGCTCCTAACTTGACCAGCTAAGAGTGTTCAGAAGTGACAATAGGTTGAAAGTTTGAGTTTTACATGATAAAAATTTCCCTGATTTCCTTGGGGGTTGGAGTAAAATTAAAAGGATTTAGAAGAGATAAAGAGAATCAACTACAGAAAATTTTACACTCTTTGACACCTTTACTACAAAACTGGTTTTGTTTGTTTGTTGTTAGGAGCAAAAACTGGAAAGTGATGCTGTGCAGGGAAGGTTTCAGCTTGAGCCCCAGCCGTTCACCTAGAACTTCAGGGCCTCGGTTCCATTCACATAGTGAGCGACAGGGTGATCTGTCAACCTTTAGCCCACACTCCCCAACACATTCACACTCTGGCTTTTTTTTCTTTTTTTAACTTTGTTGTTTACATGTCCGTGTCCTCCTATCACAGGTGTCAGCCCTGGAAGGGATGCTGGAGGGCATATGGTTCAGTGCCTCACTTCACAGAGAACTGAAACCAGGATGGGGATGGGAACTTCTCTAGGCCATTGAAGAGCAGAATAGGCAACTAGCAAGGCATCCTCAGTCCTCAGTCAAATTTTAGTCTGGGGAATATTCAAAACTAAAAAACATAGAATTCTTCCTTCCCTTCCAGGGTACTGATTTTCACTACCTAGAAACATCACACCCGTTACTTCTGCCCTTTGTGGTAGCAGCTTACCTGGACAATGAAAACACCGACTGGAACACAGAGGACCGTCCCTGTGTGTTCTTGACTGAGGGACTGGGGATGAGACATGGACTGTCATCTCTGTCCCTTGTTTTAGATTCTCCTGAGGAAGCTACTGGAAACCAGCAGTGTCTGAAGGTGGAGGTCATCTCTGAGTCAGTCCTGACGGACAGTGCAGTTCCCGGCTGAGAAGGACCTGAATCAGGAACCACCCCCTCCGTAGCGGGTCTCCTCACTTCGGCCCGAGCCACCCAGGCTGAGCAGGGGGAGCCCCTCCAGGGCCGCCCCCCACCAGGGACGCCTCCTTTCTCCTCTCTCCTAAGGAAAAACAATGACCTCATGTCTGTATGGGGGTCACTGTTTGCCAAGAGTTTTTCATACATCTCATTTAGTCTTGCAACCACTTCAAATGGTTTATCCTTTTTACAGATGAGAGAAAAACTTAATTAGGGGGCGGGGTGGGGGATAACATTAAACTACCATGTACTGAATCCTTGACTAAGAGCTTCCCCTTTACCCAGACAATCCTGTAACAGCTCCACACCTGCACAGATCAAAGCAGACTAAAAACCACCCTGCGAGGAGACCCCAAGCCCGGCGTTCCTCGATTGCACTGACAGCTGAGAGCATGAGAGCAGACTCTGGGGCCCACCCCCCACTCAGCAGCTGTGCCATCTTGAATAAGTTACTTAAACTTTCCAAGCCTTTGTTTTCTTTATCTAGAAAACCCCTTCTTGGGGTTAAGTAATAGAGATATGCTGGTAACATTTAACAGCTGGCTCCCTGGGGAGAAAAAATGTATCCGAGTGTGTATGTATGTATGTGCGATTTTTACTGAAAGGATATACAGCACACAATTTATAAAATATATAATACTCTTTACTCTAAATTCCATACAGTTAGTTCTCACAGAATGCATTCCTTGGGGGAGGGTATAGCTCAACTGGTAGAGCACATGCTTATTATGCATGAGGTCTTGGATTCAATCCCCAGTACCTCCATCAAGTAAGTAAATAAGTAAACCTAATTACTTCCATCAAAAAAAATGAAAAAATACTAATTTTAGAATGCGACAATGAATATGTGTATGTTCATGTATAACTGAAAAATTGTGCTCTACACTGGAAGTTGACACAACATTGTAAATTGACTATAACTCAATAAAATAAAATTAAAAAAATAATGCATTCCTTTATTTTTGCCAAAGTTGCAACTGACAAGTATAGTTCTGGCATGAATGTTGACTGATATGTTAAGTATTGTTAATACAGTAAAACAAACAATAAAAACTATGTCAGAACTTGACTTGTTTATCAATGATGTGAGAAACTTCTTTGCTGAATCAGATAATAGCTTTCAAATACTGGACTATTCAATTTTCTGTGCTATTTGCAATGGTTAACAGCAACAGACATGAGACACAAAAAATTTTAACTTTAATCTGTATTGTTAACATTTTCTCTATCACTTTAAGTCTAGAAAATCAACCAAACAAAAAAATCAAGCCCTGATTCATGCATAGCATTTGCAGCTTTTCATTGTATAAATAACCCCACCGTGGCCAGCACTTAGCAGGGCGTTGGGAAGAGATGTGCTAGACACACTGTCAGTGTACCCCCGTCATGCATGTAACACGCCAGACACATACACATACAGGTACTGACTCTCAAAAGTATTAACAATAAATTTAAAATAATTAGAAAGTAATGAGATTTTAGTATTATCTTCTCAAATATAATTCAATTGTAAGTTTATATAATTTAATTTGTAATGATGGTTATGTTTCTACCAACCAGCTCCCTGAATTCCTGGAAACGTCACACCACACCTCAGAAGCCCTCAAGCGTCGCGCCGGCAGCCCAGGGCTAGAACGGTAGTTGCTGGCAACCATCAGTCCTGACACTGTGACCGGCGGCCATCTGCTCCGTGGGCACAGCACAACTTCACAACACTGACCGGGTTAGTGCCCCGGATTTTCATGGAACCTCATTTTGTATTTGGATTAAAAAAAAAAAATTCTGAAACATAGGTAGATGTTCAATAAATGTGTGCTAGTAATGCATAACTAAACCATCAATCTATTCCTCAAAAATCCCATCAGATAAAACAGCTTAGAAAAAAGAGCAGCCGTTGCAGGGGCAAATGATCAAGAGAGAATGAAAGTGTAGGTGCTTTCCACTTTGGAAACTACCCTACTTGTTTTTAACTGCAGAACCTGAACAGGAAATGAAATGCCTATGGTAGGAGGGAAAAAAAATAGATGAAAATTTACAAGCAAAGCAACAAAGTAATGGGGGTGGGAGGCACTGCTGAAGCTAAGGATAAGGAGAGTTCAGAGAAAAGTGAAGCAATACAACTTACCTTAGACACCTTGGAAGATCATGTTCAAGTCTATGTACACCAGTAGGGAAATGGAGAGGAATCAAATTAGGAACACCATACTCATCTCAGGTATTTTGCAGATTTTTTTAAACACTGATCTCACCCTCTTTAGTAATTTATATTAAAACATAGGGTAAATGCGAATTCTGAGCACATTTTTACGTCCTGGGGAACGTGCCCCATACAAAGCCTTCTGGAGTACTTCGGAGCTTCCTCCAAGACCACCCTTAGGGCTCCTACACCCATTCAATTCAATGTGTTGTTCTAAGTGGATCTGCTAGTCTAGTGTCTGAAAAATCACCCCAAAACAACCCACTTTCCCGTTGTGAAGAGCAACTCTGACGAGGCTCCTGGACAGGCCGCAGTTGTTCCCCAGCTTTAGGACGGACTAAGGATTAAGAAAAGCAAATGGAACAAATTTTAACAGGCCCAGCAGAGTGGAAAAACTGAAACCAGATCCGTGCACTGGCTGTCTTTACACATTTAGTTAGCTGCAGCATTTCCAAAATTCGGAAGGATTTCAATCTATTTTGTTTTCCATCAACCACATATATTGAGAGTTCAATGTTTCTTATGCAAAAAGGGTGCAAATTATGATACAAATTTGTACAGTAATCCACAGAATATGATCAACATTCTGATCAAAACCCAAAGTGTGGTTAACAGGGTTTTTCCCCTCCTGAAAGCATACTTTCCAAGGAGCCCGAGAAGAGTTCAGCAAAGAAAAAAACGGGGGTTATTTGGTGGAGGAAGTTTGGAAAAACAGCATCCCACTGAGCCCTTCCTTATAGGACTCTCGATGCACATTTGCTCGTTAGGGAACAGGAACGACACAGAGATGTCTCAGTAACCTTGGTCAGCCCAGTATTTCCAAACTCACTCAGTAAAGCCGCCCATGTCTTCCACCTAACATCAATTCACACTCAGAGAGTAGTGGACACTACTGGTCTTGCCAGCAAGTGCAGGGAATGCTCATTTAAGTAACCACCTTAACTTTGCCAGCATGGCTGCAACCACAAGGAAGGGGAAAAGGAGGCGGTGGTCTTGCTGAGGCTCCTTATCCCATTCAAGACCAAGGCTGAATCTTGTCTAGATCAGGTACCCCACCTGCCTTCCTCTCTCACCATCCCTTCCCAGTAAGACTATCTTATCAAACAGAGCAAACCGCTATTCAGCGGGCATTACAGAAAATAGTAACAATCGTTGTTAAAATCTCTAAACTTTATAGTCTTTCTTTTAAAAAGAAAAGCCCTGCATATACATATCCCACCATGCTGAATGAGAGATTTATGTAAGAGATCCTGCTATGGTCAAAGGAAAGGAGTAAGTTGTTATAAATGGTCTTACAAAAAAGTCAAGATAGAAAGATACCAGAAACTACACTTGGTTAGAAATAATATTTATTCTCCCCTCCCCCCATGTACAGATTACTTTTCAGAAACATGAAGATATTATCCATGTCTTCATCAATAACAGTTTGTAGAAAATAAACTTAATTCATATCTTGTCAATAATATATTTCTATCATTTCTTTTTAAAACAATAGCCATTGTATTTTTCCATGTTAGCTCAAGAATAGCTTCAAGTTTTGTTTCGGATCAAATCAACACAATCTTTGTTTATCGGTAATTTCCTGACAGAGCCCCTCCCCCCAACCCCTAAAAAAAATTCTATATCCTAAGTGATAAAGTCTTCTTGTACATTCAGCAAACTTTATACCGGAAAAGAAAAAGGATAATTGAGATAGGTACCTACTCTCGTGCACAGGGATACATCTAGCTGAGCTTCTACACCTTGCTTTGCAATGATGTTTACATAAAATAAACTGTATCTTATCAAGTTACAATGGTAATTTGTTGAAATGTAGTTACGAAAGCTATACACTTAATCCGCTGAAGTTTCCGAAACTGTAATTAAGCCGTCGCCATAAGGAAAAGCTTCATCCCAAGAAGACGTTTCCCCTTTCCCTCAGCTCTCTCTAAAGGCCTGAATCCTCTCTCAGATCATGTAAAGAGGTACATTAAAAGGACAGAAAAAAATGTTTTAGCTTGCTGACATAATGCCCTTAAGTTTGCTGACATAATGCCCGTATTTTAAGTTTAAAATGTAAAATCAGAGTTAAAGCATCACTTAATTCATACAGTACATTATTAATCAACAGTGTCCCACCAAAGAGGTTCCCTAAATCGGTTGTCTTCTCTGCATTTAGTAAGTTTATAACCGATGACTCAATCAAAGAATGTGCTTGTAATAGGCTGCTGGTTTAAGTTTAGACGTAGAGGTTTCAATATGGGGCCGTTTTCAAATATAGAAATGCTACGAGTGGCATATGAACGACTAATTTTGTTTCCCATTACCTACAGGAAGAATTTGTTCAAATAAAATTTTACAAGACAAAATGCAAATATCTACCTATACCTAGATGTATACATGTATATACTGAATCTAACTAAAGTTTTATAAGCAATACTAACATAGTTCTGGTTACACATTCCTAAAGACTTAGTAATTGTTTTAAAGATATATGTTATAAAGAGGCTTATGCAAAAGGCAAAAATTAAGAAACAACATGATCTTTGAGGTTTTCAATATTACTTGAAAAAGCTGTTTCTATTCCCCATAGAAGAAAAACTATGCATTTATCTTAGGAAAAAAAATTATAAAAAGATAATGCTATCATGTAAAGAATTCACAAAAACTATACTGTATATCCATAAAAGCCCTACCTATTCAAGGTAAATCACAATTATGGTTTATATTGTATTACAGACATCACCATCACCTTTCCTCTTTAATAATGAGAGGGTTTCACTCTTTTTTAACTTACTTAACTAGTGCCACAGAAATTCAAGTCCCAGTAGCAACAAGTTAAACAAGGTTACAAAATAAGGCATTCTGCTCACATGTCATTAAAGTAACAGGCTGAGTACAGTAAAGTGGGGTCTTTTCATTTTCGCAATTTTATATAATCCAAAAATTATACAGAAGGCAATCTTCACCTAAAAATCCAATTCACTGCTATCTTCCAGGGCAACAGAGAAACATACATAAAATCCTCAACTTTTTGACGATTTTCTCCACCTGCCATAAAGAGGCTGATCCTACCTATTTACAAAAGCCCGAAATCAGAAATGTGGATGAAATGTCCTTGACTATACCATTTCTAAGCCTGTAGGTCACACACTAACTGATTTTTCAAATTATAGGTTAAATCTAATTTGACAAAATTCCCTGTAGTGTTACTTAGGGGAAAAACAAGTGGATTCAGAACACGCTTGCACATCCACACTCACACACTCAGGCACACATCAACATGTTAAACAGTTTTCTTAAACATTGGTTGGTTCTCCAGAAAGAATCAAAATAATCTATCATCAAGCTGCAGCATGTGTATAATGGGCAGCAATGCAACCTTTTTCAGCACAAGGTAAGAATCTGAATGAACTTTTAAACAACTAGTACCTTTACCAAAGATGAACTCTAAAATACGTATTTTTTTGAAATTTGGACTCGATGGTCTGTTGCACTTTTACATTAAGTGTTGTTTAAATAAACAAAAATAGAGCATAAACTCAATACTCTACTGTCTAAATATTTAAAGCAATGGTTGTTAACGTCATCAACAGGTAAAATGCACCTAATTTGGGTCTTTTGACACCTCCTGTTTTAAGTTTATTATATGACAAAGCTCTTCACAGTTTAAAATATTGTGAAGAAATATATTTATGTTTAACTATATTCACATACATACTATGTACACATACTGTGTATTTGATGTACCCATGAACTCTGAATATATGTGTGCCAGATAGACACCCCACACATATGCAGGAACCCTGAATATAACAGATGGGTGTGGACTGTGAAATGATTTCCAAGAAATGCGCAGAAATAAAAAAAATTATCATGAATGATTATAACAAAAACTTTACCTTATTTACATAGTGCCTATCTCCCAAGAGGTAAATATGCTTTCTAGACATTTTTTATTATCTCTGTGAGGTGGGCCATTGGGAACACAACTGATTTTCATTTTCCACAACCAGCGAACCTGCGCAGGACCATACACTTTCACGGTGGCAGTGTGAAACAGAGACAAGGAGGTCTAACCTGCACAGCCTCCCATTACCAGGTCAAACGGTCCTGCGGGGAAATCAAGTTTCCATCTTATAAGAGAACTTCCACCACAAAGGATTAACTTTTAAGTCTTCAGATACTTGTGCCTGTGCATTATGTTTATACCACAGGGAGATCAAAATGGTTTTTGGTTTTGGCAGATGAAAAAAGTCTAACATTCAGTGTGACTCTAATTCAGTGTAACTTCTCCAGTTTAAGTGCAACACAGCTGACTGGTCTATCGGGGAAACGCGGGCAATGTCTAATCATGGCTGAAGAGATCTCACCCCAAAGGGCTACCACCTGATCACAGACAGCCTACAGCCTCGTGCTGCCTTCGAGGCCTCCTCTCCCTCCTCGCACGGTGCACACACAGAAATAAGCATCTCAGCACACAATGTACAGTTAGCATGAATCAGTTCACGTCTGAATAACCAAAGGCCTTAGGGGTGGACTTTAAAGGCCAAGAGCTCCTCAGAGTGCATGTTGTTTAACGATCGAAGATCTGGCAACTTCAGAAGCAGCTTTGTAAAAATAGAGGCCTCATTTGGATGGTTCTTCATGATTAAGGTCCTTAGCGCCCGGATGAGCGTTTCCTGCAGGGCCTCCACCGAGTTGGCATTCTCTATTCCAGACCGATCTGAGGGAGAGTGCGGAAGAGAGGTGGATGAGAGGACACGTCAGTGACACTAAACACAAATACCATTCTCACTCATCAATCTCATTAATTCTCAAAACAGGGCTTTATCCACTGAACAAAGGCAAAAGATAACTGACCAAAGTTTTAAAATCCCAATGGTAAATTTTTGTAGCTATTATATTACAAAAATATATATCACATAGTACACTTAATAAATCAAAATTCTTTAGTGTTTAGGTATCTTTGTTCACAAAAATCTAGAGGTTCTGATTTTTCAAATTAGATACCATCTAATTTCAATTGCTTCGGATTAGCAAAATAAAATGAATAATGTGGTTCAGAAATACATCTTTACCTCACGAGGAATAATATCCACATTTGCATGTCACCATGCGTGGTGGCAGCCTCTGCAACAGCCCCCAACAGTCCCCTCATCCTGGTATCCCTGCCCTGTGCATCCTTCCTGCATTGAGTGGGCCAGACTCGCTACTAATGGATAAAATACTATGGAAAAAAAACGCAGCTTCCATCCTAGGCCTTCTCCCACTCACGTGCTCTGAGGAAAGCCGTGTGAGCTGCCCTAGGACGTGGCCAGCGTGCTAAGCAGCTGAGGGCAGTCTCCAGCCATCAGCCAGCCAGGGACTGAGGTGCTCAGTCTAACAACCTGTGAGGGACTGAGTCCTCCAGCAACCCTGTGAAGGCCCGGAAGCAGACCCCGCACTGAAGAGCCTTCCTAAGAGAGCACGGCCTGCCCACTGCTTGACCACAAGCTCCTAAGCAGCCCTGAGCTGGGGACACTCATCTAAGCCACACCCACACTCCTAAGCCTCAGACAGTGTGTGATAACAAACGTATGCATTGTAAGCCACTAAGTTTTAGGGTAATTTGTTACGCAGGAATAGGTAACTAGCATACTATATAACTTTATTACCTAGTTATATCAATCTGCATTCACTTTTATTTAGCATACTGTATACTAAACTCATCATACAAAAATGTTAATAAATTAATGATTTAGTATAATCAGCAATAAAGAAAAGTATCTTAAAATTAGCCAAAACTATGTTGTTTGCCTGTGGACTTTTTTCATCAACAAGGGCTATTTCTTCCTTTTGCAATAGGTGACAGTAGAGTGCAAGAAATATTCAATGGCTCCTGGTATAGGGAGTTGTAATTAATAAGAAAAAGACCTTCTCCAAGGAAGCAAAACTCTCTGGCCATTTGCCCTTATTTAATTTTTTTACAAGGAAATTAAGGAGGTTTTCCACTGTAACTGGCAGCTGAAAAAGCCTACTTGCAATGCGAACACTCAGAACAAGGACTAAAATCTAACAGTAAGGGAGGCGGAAGACTGAGTAATTCTAAATACAGGGGGAAATGATGAAAATAGGAAAAATGATGAAAATAAGTTTATCTTACATTTAGTAAAATTTGGATCATGACTACAACTACGTGCTAATTCTTATGGAAAAAGAAACAAACTGAATGTTGACTGTTGAGATTTTTGCTTTTTTGGGGGGGGGGGGGATTCAATTTTCCAAACAAAATAGTGAGATAGATCTCTTGACATTTGACTTTGGCCATGCAACTATAAGGGTCATCTTTGCAAAACTACTCCCTTGCCGTTAATATTCAAGTAATTGTTTACTTTTACATCCTTGCAATGTGTTAATTCATTCACCACACACTTATTAAATGTGTGTGGTTACTGGAATAGGTGCTAGGGAATTATCAGTGGACAAAACAAAATTCCTTCCTTTAGAGAGCTCATACCTTAACAGAAGAAAGTTAACCAGTTTACACTGCATCACCAGTAATTTACAACACCAACACCTGGGAAAGAATGACAGCAGCTCCCACAAACAAAATAATCTAGACGGCAAAAAAAGGAACCACAAGTGGGAAAGGATATTGGAGTTAGTATCATCAGGGGAGGCTGGTCCTCCAGTGAACATCTTGTGTTTGGATGACCTATGCCCCTCTATCCAGCTCCCTTCGAGGAAATAGACACCTATACCTAAAAATGTAAATAATATTAAATTTTTCTAAAACCTCAGTTTCTAAAACCATGGTTTCATGATTTCAAGGCCAAAAGACCTACACACAAATCTAGCTGGATCGTAAGCAACAGTCCTCTAGAAACTGCAACACTAGAAGGCACAGGCTGGACAGAAATTCACCTTCCACAGGACGCACTGAGTGCCGCACTGTTACTTGCATAATTTCCCTCAGGACACAGCTGTCTTCTAGTTCCTTAACCGTCTGGCTCTTCGTCCCTCTCCCAAGCTTGCACTCCTCACCAACTGTTCCCACGATGCAGATGGAAGTTAAATTCCTTCAACAAAACCCTCTGTGAGGACAGCTACAGTCTGCATCTAGATGAGCCTGGGCCTCCCTCACACCTCCGCTCCAGTCTCTGCTCTTCAGAGGGGCTGCAAGGGGCTGCTGCTGTTTCACACAACCCAAAGAAGAATTTACCTTCCAGGAGTAATCCCTCTTCTCTCCACAGTATCAGGATTCCTCCAGCCTCCCAGGCAAGTGCCACGTTTGAGATTTCTCTCTCCCTTAACAGCTACAGCTGTTCTGTTGACAAGCAGTGTAGTGGCAAGGCTTCTGAAGCTAGACTAATGAGAGTGCAAATGCCTGCTCAGCCAATAATTAAAAATGTGACCTTGGGCAAATTATTTAACCCCTCTGCTCCTCAAATGCCTTGCCTGTATAAGTGAGGGTAACTTGTTCTAGCTCACATCACAGGTCTGTTGTGAGGATAAAATTATTTAATGAGATCATTAACTAACATTTCTTCTGACAACAATAACCAAAACAAAGCAACTGCAGATTCCAAGAGAAACAATTTTGGAAATAAAGCAAACTACAACGTAGCTTAATTCTAAGCAATTAACAGAGAACATAAATAGTCCATTTGTTATCTGACACTTGGAACTTTCCCTTCAAGAACAAGTTTAGGGGAGAGATTTATGTTGCCTTGTTACCATTTCAAACCCACTGTGTGAACACCATGGGCACTATTCACTGAAAAATGATGAAATGCTGGTTTTACTTTCCAATGTTTTTAAATCAACTGATAAATAAAGCATGGGAAACAGTCACAACTATAGGACAGAATATGAATGTTTTAATCCTTGACAATGTAAAAGAAAATGGTAGAGCAAAGAAGCCAGGATCTGGGGAAAGGAGGGTATTATCTCCCTGTACAGTAAGATTATTCTGCCTCAGCTATCTGAGAGAGTGCAAAAGTGAATGATCGAAGAATGTAAGCACATTAAATTTATAAATAAAACCAATAAAGTGACTGAAAAAATAAAACTTAGTGAAAGTTGAGAGGGAAAACTGAGAGGGTACTTTTATTTATCAGATGCATCTACTAAATAAAAAGAGGTATAAGCATTGTACTTAGAGTTGGGAGGGCAACCATCAGAACAATTCAAAAGAAAGATGGTTAGAAATCTAGTCTGAAGCACAGGCTAGGAATACAAGGATAGACTTTTCAATTTATACTCTTCTATGGTCACTGAATTTTATTTTCCTGCCTGGATACTGCTTTAAAAATAACAATAGTCCTTTTTAAGTGATCAAGATTTAAATGTGACATGAACTCTATCATATACTTAAGTGAAACAACATTATCATTTTAAATGCATGGAACTGTACATGTATCTTTGTGTTGCTTGCATATCTTCATATATAAACATAACAAAAATAAGAATGCCTTATGTTCTTCTATAATCAGCCTTTTCCACTTAGGATGTCAAACATCTCTCTATGTACCACATACCAGTAAGCAGGCAAATGGATAAATGGACACAGCTGAATGGAGAGAGACCCACCCCTCAATGCTAACAGTGATCATTTTTGGTAATGACATTATCATCTTTATTTTCATTTTAATATTTTCCAATTTCTCAAAGAGTACATATTATTCTTATGATCAGAAAACAAAACAAGGCTTTTTCAAAATTAAAATTCAAAATAAAATAAAAGTCACAATCGTGGTGGAAAACATAAATGCAGGAGCAGAGCTCCTGGCAGAGAACTCCCCTTCACCCTCCATCTTCCCTTCTTTCCCAACTATCAACTCTCTCTGGGACGTAGCCGTCCTTCTCTACCTCCTTTGCCACATCTATTTTAGGAGAGTTCACTGCCTCCCACCTAAAGTTATTTCAACAGCCTCTCAACCTGACTCTCCAGTTCACCTGTCTAATCCACCCAGGATAAAAGTACAGAACTAGCGTTAAAGCATCACTTTGCTCATGCCCGATCGCACCCCTACTTAAGAAGTGACACTGACTTTCCACCGCCCTGTATTTGTCTTCTCTGTTTAGTTCTCACAGCTGTCACTCTATAACCTGGTGCCACGTAACGTAAGCCTCCTGTCCCTCCCTCCTTGACATACACAGCAGTCTTTGGCCACCTGCCCCTCCCCCTCTCCATCTTGTGCTGTCACCACGCCTTTCTATCACTTTTTGCTGGGAAAACTTAATAATCCATCCTTCACATTTCAGCTCCACTTTCATCCTCCCACAAAGCCTTCTTGGATGATCTCACCTTCCTTCCCAAAACTACTTACCACAGTCAGAACCACAGTTTAGTAACACAAGGTTTTCTGTGTTCATTCTGACTCTCCAAATGGAACATAAATACTTTGGAGTATAAGCTTGTGTCTTAATGCCTGCTCTGTCTCCCCCTGAGCACCTAAATTAAGGCATATTCATCAGATAAAGAAGTTAACAAGTATGGATCACCTTTAGTTTCACAATAATAGATCTAGTGATCTCATGTCAACTCAAACTATCACTAATTATAAGTGCAAGAGGCATTACAAGGTTACTAAGAAACAGGTATCCCTTATTGACACACTGCATTCATACTATTTCCATATAGTAAGTGACTTTTTAGGTACCCAGGTAGAGCTGATCAGAAAAGGTAGCCAAGGCAGCTCTATGGTGTAATGGTGAGCACTCTGGACTTTGAATCCAGAAAAGGTAGCCAAATTGTGCTTGCAAATGGCATCAAGTCTTTTACTCCACTGATGGACAGCCCCATTAAGTTATACAAAGAACTTACTCTCCTTAAGGAATACCGAGGTAAGTTACTGATTTATGGCTCTGACACACAACCAGGGGCTGTAACTCACACCTTACAACTCTCACAGGGCTCAACACAATGCCTTTTACTTAGAAGGAATCCAATGGGAAACTTATCATGCCATATCAAAATACTGTATAATTCTCAACAAATGCTTTAAAACAAAGATAGCGATACCTAACAATGGCTGGTACTTACTTACATGTCCCCAGGAAAGTCACTGTGTCTCAATTTCCAATTTGCTACCTGTGCCTTAACAGCTATTTTCTGAATTGAAATACTCGGCTCAGAAATAACTGCAGCACAATGCGAGGTGGCAGGGAAACCGGGAAACACCACCGATGACTCATACAGACAAACACTAAAAGTTAGGACTCAGAACTCTTGGCCACTCATTCAAACAGTGATGAGCATGTACGCCGTGCCAGACCCCACACTAGGCTCCCACAGTACAGTCCCTTCCTTTCAGAGGATGAGGGGACCGAGACCCAAAAGGTGGAACTACTTACCCACGTCCCACAGAAAACTCAGCAGCAAAGCTGGGTCAAAGCCTACAACTCGTAAGTCACTGGTTTTTGTAACAAAACACAGGATCTCGATACTTTTAACATTTTGAAGTAACTCATATAATATTTTAATTAGAACTTAGAATTATATCAGAGACACCTTCCTGTAGATATACAATGTTCCAAAAAATTAAATCCATGAAGTAACGAGGTAGACGCGTAAGAAATTAATTATTCAAAAATAACAGATTCATAGTTTAGCATCTTCCTTAAGGCCTTCCCCTCTACACAGCCTGCTGGAAGCCAGCTGCTGCTCGCCGCATTCCAGGTGCGGCACGGTTCTGACCCGGCTTGCTTACCTGCAGACACTAGGACAACTGCTGTAAACAGACTCATCTCTTCATCACTAAGTTGGAGGGCATTTAGTTTCTCACTAAATTCAAACATAGAGTTTAGCAGATCCCCTGCTCCCATTGAGTGTAAATCATCCACGCTATACTTCTTTCCACTTAAAAAGGTGACAGTACGCTCCTTTGCATCAAATAATGACGCAAACCGTACCATTAAAACCTGGAAAAAGAAAAAGACTCATATATATTTGGAGAAGTTCAATAGTAATACCAAGAAATAACTCAGTATTCAAGTCAGTTAAGAAACATCCTACATACAAGAGAAAGCTGTAGAAGAAAAACTGAGTTTATTTTTACCCAGAACCATTTGCTTAAGGCAAATTCTCTAACAAAGCAATAAATATTCCAAGAACAACATCAAAAAAATTCCAGCCAGCAGCGGCAAAGTACTCAAGTCCTGTAATACTCTATTAATAAAGATTCTGAAATGCAAATTCAAAATTAAAGCAGGCAATAATGCCAGGAAATTTGAAACTGGGTGTTGGCCAAAGGCATGAAAACTCTTAAGCTACCAAGGATATCACATGGTCTCTAAGCCCCAAGTAAGAAGAGCACGATTTCAATGCAGCGACACTTGGAAACATCCAAACACCAAATGCAGCAGATGAACTCCAATTAGTCTGTGTCAAGAACCCATAACCCAGAGAGACAATACACAAAGGTAACTATCACAGTAAGTGTTCTGGACACCCAGTTATAATTGAAATCCAAGTCAAACTAGTCAGCAGTTACTTACCCACAACACTCCCTCCAGCACAGTAAGCGGTGACATCTATGTCACGCACTTCCCTCAAAACCAGATGAACACTGAACACCCATCTTCCCTTTGCAATGCTCCCAAGCAAAGACTCGTTTTACCCAAGACAGTCTAGAAAGGGCGTGAGCCTTCTAAGAAGATGGTGCTAACTCTCTAACACAGAAAACCTAAGACAAATCACAAGGTGAAAAGATGCAAGTCCTGGAGTATGAGACTTGTGTTCTAGATCTGTGTTGTAAATTTACTGGTAATCCAAGAAAAGCCTCTTCACCTCTCTGGGCTGTAGCTACCTAACCTCAAAGATAGGTGAATTGAACTTGAACTCTGACATTCCTTCTGACTTTAAATCTTAAGTCTGATGTTTTTTCCTTTAAACAGAAAATTGTAACCTATAGGTGTTACTTTGGAATTATACTATAGTTTTTTTTTTTTTTTATGAAAGCATCTTCTCTGTTCTAGTCCAAGTACCCAAGAAAACACAGCCAAAGGCAAAGGTTTATGTGGGATGTGGGCTGGCACATGTGAAAACAGGAGTTGGGAAAAAGGAAATGAGATGGAAAGAAGAGAGAGCCAGTATCAGAGGGTATATTAATAAGCTGGCCACCACGTGACATCAAGGATAACTGAGAGCTCAATCTTGTGGGACTATTCAGAAGTAAGGTCGTAACCCTTCCCCCACAGATCAAAGATCTGGCCCACCAGACATCAACTTCCCACCCACCACCCTGCAATTCAGAATGATGCTTAAGAGATCTCAGAGCAAGTCCTGAGACTTCCCCCACCTCAGCAGCAACAGGGAAGCATTCCACTACAGTTGGCAACAGTGGCTGCCTCAAGCCAAGGCAGAATGCATCAGAGCAAGAGAAGCTGGAGTAGAAAAAGCAGCCACAGATTTCTACAGTGAGGTGAGGCCAAGAGGACTTGAGGTGGTACATAAGGGATGTCTGATACATCCCCCAAATATTCTACAATCTCCGAAAAGACTAAAACCACATTCTGCTTACCCTTTGTGTTCTGCACTGAACGGAGTAAACACTAGCTGAGGCTCTCAGCAGGTGTCTAACATTCCGGAGAACCCAAGTCCACACCTGGAAGCAATTCTAGAACTTGGAGTTTGTGTGCTGTGAATACAGCATGTACTCTGAATTTACCTTGTCTCTTCCCACGATCCTGAGATGGTCATGCTTTTGTTGGTAGTTTCTGTCTCTGGACCACAAACACTTATTTAGAAAAGGATGAAAACAAAATACAACATGTCCTGCATCAACATTCAGGATGAGTAAAACTTACCTCAAAAGTCCCAGCCTTTAGAAGGTTGACCTGGTCATGCTGAGAGAGATCTCTGAACCCGGGAATACGCTTTGCAAACTCCACCACTTCCTTCACTGCAGGGGTGAAGCTCATGGAAAATTCTTCCCAGATTTCATGCCCCGATTTATGAGGATCCACATATGGAGACTTACTCATTGGACAAACCTAATGGGCACAAAACAGAAAAACTCTTAAATTGTGAGAGGGGGTAAAGACATTCCAAAGGTGGCATACCAATCAGTGGAAACTCAATGTGAAAATACCCTCTCTGACACCAGTAAAATCTACCCATATCAGCACTGTCTCCGTTTGCTACTTGCCTTGTGACGGAAAGCCTCAGAGCAACCGAATTTAAACAGCAACTGACTTACCACAAAAGAGGCAGCCTGAGCAAACGACATCTGCAACAAGCTATTTCAAAACCTGCTGCACGGGTTTAAGAGTTAGTTTTGTAATACTGCTGCCACCTTACACTGGTTCTATGGTTTCCAAACAAATTCACACACATTTACTTGGTTCTCAACAGTTAGTTATGGCAGACATGATAATTACCATTTCTTAGGTAAGGAACTAAGACTTTTAAGAGATTTGGTGACTTACCCAAATACACCTAGAAGTCACAGGCCTAGAACCCAACCCCACACTTAGTATTTCAAAACTCTCTTTTTTCTAAATAGGCACAACTACAATGTTGTCATTCAAAGAGGAAGCGACAGTGAGATGCCTCACTTTTTTAAAAAAGGTCATTGATGACTTATTTCATACACAACGTTGTGACCACTGACCTCCACTTGTTAAATTAGGACACAGTGACTGGATATACAAGGTGCACCTTCTAAATGAGGACTGGGGAGGGAAAAATAGGAAGGCACAAAAGGTATGAGAACACTGAAAGGACTATGGAACACGCAGTGTGTACGCCATTACTAAACCCAGTCCTTACATTCCCACTAGCTCCACAGGTGACCAGGAATGGGATGACTCCATGAAGAATAGCACAAGTTAGAACTTACGTGCTTACACATTTTTCAGTCCTTAAGGGAGCCACGAAGTCTAACAACATAGAAAATTACTTTCCAGGTACTTGCAAGTGACAAAAAAAATCTGACATAAGGATTGGGGTAGACTCAACTATTTTGAAAACGAAAAAGATATTAATTACTTGTCTGTAGAAAATACCAAGCACTATCAAAGGGTCTCATGGTGTGACCGGAGTGCGTGGTGCTGCTGCTTGGGACACACTTCTGCCTGAATAGAAGCACCGTACTTTCATGCAGACTACTGTATTTGATGAAAAACATTTGAATGATATGAATAACATTAACTCATTCCAGAGGATAAAGTCTGAGAAAATCTTCAGAAACCAGCTTATTATATTAAACTATTCCTAAATTTTCAAACAATGAAATATCCATGTTCTGTATCCAAGGACCTTTTTGCATGATAATGATTAAAGAAAATAATTCCCATCTAAATCAAGGAACTACTGACTGGCAAGCTAAAAGGATCAGCTCTTCAAGAAAATCCCAAAGCTAGTAAGGTAATGATTAATCAGAATGCAACACTCTTGAAAGGGATTTCTAAGAATTAAAGGATCAATTCTTCATGATCCGTATTTTACATAAAATCCCAATCCCAAACATAGCATGTATCAAATAACATGCTTGTACCTAGTTCTGTGAGAAACCAGGTCATTCAACAAACGATGTTTATTAAAAATACCTGACCTAAAATACTGCACAAAACTGATTCTGTAAAACCTCTTAGGGTTTCTGACACCCCCACCCCTGCCCCTGATGTTGGTAAAACCTCCAGATAAAAGAAAGCCTTCAAAGCTTTCCTTGATACAAGGTGAGCAAAAAATTGGTTTCACTATACCAGATGCATTCTCCCTCCAGTGTTGCACAGGTAACTGTTCTTGTTCTCATTCTGAGAAAATCCATCTATGGAAACTCTATCACATACTCTTTGAGTATAAGCATTGGAGAAGTTCATACAATGTCCATTTGCAATACAAATGGCATGCCCGTTTGGGTAATGCATTACATTCCTCCCTTTGTACTGTCCATTGAGATGCTGCTGGCTCTCACTGCAAGGAAAGTGGCCGCTAAGCCCACCGCCACAATGGTCATGATTTAAATTATACTGCTCCATGTTCTTGGGAATCCGTTCTCTCTGTGGCTGCATGGTCTCTGTTGAGTTTTCGCGCTGCTCCTGATTGTACATAAAGGTATCCTTGTGCGCTCTGGTTACCATGCCAATCACTTCTTCCTTTGCAAAATCAGAAGAGGGAGGAGAAGAGCCTTTGATGTTTTCTTGCTCCAGCTGGGGCTTGGGTCGCAGCTGTTCCTGGGCTGGTAAAGCCGTCTGTTCATGATGTTCCACTAATGTGTCACTCTGCAAATGACCACTGAACTGGCTGTTCATCATGGTCTTCATCGCACTTTGCATTTCAATCAGCATCCTCTGTTTTTCACGCTTAGGAATACGACCAAACCGAACAGCTATTGAAGAGAGAGATATTTAACATCTACTGTCTAAATAAGACCTGTTTGTACAAAAGCATAACAAAAAATTAGTCCTGACAGCTCTGGCCTCTAGTCATACCAGTAAAGAGCATCTATTTGTGTCTGGCCCAAATTATTCCAAACTTGATGGCTATATTTCTGATGTACCATACGAAGGGGGCGGGGGATCTTTCTCCCAAAACAAAGCTAAGGAGAAGATCTCTTGGGTATTTTATAAGCAAAGTCCAAGAAAGAAACTTGAAATTAACTAACAAAAATCACAGCTCAAAGCAGACCAGCATTACTATGCAGCACCTTGCTAAGAGGGCTGAAAGCTCTGTTCTTAAGAAGGCACATGGGATTTCAGCTGCCCACATTCACTAACATTAATGGAACCCAGTAGTACAATCACTCCCTGAACAGCTGACCTTTATCAGTTCATTTTTGTAACCTTATTCTCAAGACCCAACAAGACCCAACTATTAAATGATCTGCTCTCCTCTTTCCCAACTTCTTAAAAGAGAAAATCTTAAAAAGAGAGAAAAAGAAGAAGAAAAAGAAAAAAGGAAAACCACAGTCAACAGAAATGTAGTTACTGGAAGATAACCTTCCTGGATTTTAATTAAAATCAATGAAACAAAAATAAAATCATTCATCCTCCATTATCTTAGAATGTGTCCTGTCTCCAACAGTCTCATCCATGAGGGAAAGAAAAACTTCTTTCTTTTCTAATATTTAGAGACAATAAAAACTCAATATATCCACCCAGCAAGAAAGCCTTACTCATCTAATTGTAGCCTCTGACATTTATCACTATCACAGACAATTTTATCATGTTGCACACTTTACCTCTGCTCCCTCCTTCACAACTGATTGTCATTTTTATTCTTTTGAGGCAATCACAATATCCATCAACTTTGGATCAGTATTTCTAGTGCTATAAAAAAAAATTTCAAACAATCGAAAATACAAAACATCAATTGCTGAACTCTTTTATTCAAGAACTCCTAGTTGCAATACTGTATTTCTGGGCCAGTAAGATCTTAGAGAAACCTAAGGAATTGCTTAAATGACCCTTCCCTAGAAAAACCCAAGCTTCATTCTTAGCAATTCTTAATTAACTCTACTAAACCAATTCCTCTGGAAAACCTCATACTCCTCTGCTATGTTACTTGGAACAGAATGAGACTATCCAAAAAATGATTTCCGTAAGCACAACAAAAGAGACAAATCCTTCAGTGACATCATCCACAGATAACACTAACAGTCCTGCAGAGTATCACAACTTTCGTTTTTCCATGTGAAGCGATCGCGCCAGAACAGGGCAACCAGCTCCACTTCAGAGCCTCCTGTTCTTTCCACTGTGTGTCTCCTTTCAGTGTATTCAGAATCCTCACCCTGAAAGCATACAGATATCTCAAGACTGAGAAGTGACAGAGATAATTCAGAATAGGGGGAAACTGATCCCTCAGGACTGCTAAGAAATCAAGAAGAAAAAGCCAAGGAAGGGTTCCTACATAAAGAAAAACTTAAAACTTCTTTTTTTTTAAAGGAAAAAGAAAAAGTATTCAACTTGTATAGGGAAAAAAATGGGTCTTTTCACAGGCAAGTAACAAGAAAAGAAGTGAGCCACAAGCTGTTTCTGGGGTGATGATGCTAAAACTTGACTTTATAATGAATCTGGCATCCTACAAGGCATCAAAATGTGTTCTCTAAAATCTGTTTCACCCTAAGCACAAGAGGGCCATTGGTAATTAGCTTGTAGCTCTGGTTTATGCTGAGGAATAAAAGCCAAGCTCCATATGCTTTAAGAAGATCACTCTTTAAACTGGGAACATACCATCTCTTGACATTCCGACAGAGAGACACTTTTTGAAGCGACACTGCTGACATCTGTTCCTATTCATTCTCATTATGGAACAGTTTTCATTCTTCAGGCACTTCTTGTACTGGATGTTTTGCTGAATGCTTCTTCGGAAAAAACCCTAAGAACACAGGAAGATGTACCCCGTCTATTTAAAAACATCTAGACAAACTTGTAAGGGTTCCCCCCACACCTAACTATCAGGTATATTACTAGCTACCTGGGAAGTAACTTTGGCCTAGAACACAGGGAAATATAATACTGGCAAGTAGAATTTAACTCAGTTCTTACCGTTATCAGTACTTACCTATGCCCACTAGCCAAACAAAACTCTTCTTCCCTTTCTTCCCTTTGGAGAATCTTGGCGCTTGCCAAAGCATCCCTTGTACTACACTTTACCCTGTTACCAGCCCTGCCTGCAGCCAATTTTCCAGCTCATACTTTTAACACATTGATCACCCACTGCGGATCGGGCGCCCCTGAGGAAACAACTGTCACCCAGATTTGGGTGACATGGCAATCAACGTGTTAATCACAGACAAAACTCTTAAAATATGAATGACTGATTTCGAGGAAGCTGACAGAGAAATGTGTTCCCTAGTTATAATCCCCTTGCTAGAACTGAGGATTACATTAGTAACTTGTTGGTCTTTCCTGGATTATTACCTGCTGACACCAGACAGGCCTACTTATATGGGCCAGGTGTTCCTGGTTACTTGTCAGCGATAGGTAAGTGTCATGCCACAGCCCACAGACCAGTTAATGGCTAGGAAAGACAGTTCCCAGCTAAATGGCTACAAATAACTTTACTATGCAAACAATTTAAGGTCAAGCTTTGTGAGTGGTCTTTGAAGATCTCCAGCTAAATGGTTCCCTTGACTTATTCAGAAAAATCAAGAACAAAATTATTTTAAACTGCAGTTTCCTTGAATACCATAACTAATCACATATTTGATGACTCTATTAGCAATGGGGGGATACGACATCTTTATACTTTGTTACTGCAACATTATACTTGGATGCTACAATATCTGAGCTAGACACAACTTTAAGAGCAATTATGTATGGTTTTATCAACAATACACAATTAGGCTCATTTGCTTGTGCTTTTGTTTCTCTAGCTATAAATATAAAGGGAGAATAATGCCTGTCCCACAGTTATTTCACATTTTTGTGAAAAAAAAAAAAGTGACTCAACCATTCAGAGCTACCAAGCTCACAATTTATTCAGAGCCACCCTAGAAAATATTTCTTCTTTCATGATGTATATTCATTATCTTGCTCGCCCACCATATCCTGCCAAACTGGATTCCTGCTCCTGGCTTTCAGTCCAAGAACAGCAAGAGCACATGTCTTGGCCATGTTAATTTTAGATACTCAAGAGAAAGGGCTGTGCCAGATTAAAAAGGAGACAGAGAGAGAGAGTCCCTGGATAAAAGCAGGCAGTACAGGCCATCTCACTTGGAATTATCTGACTCAGAAATACGCAACTAAACTTACAAACAAAATGCGCTTTCCCAAGGGCTCCATTTATATTCAAGATTCTTTTATAAACTTGGGATTACTTCTGATACCACATTTTCACAAGTATTTAGGAATCAATCCCAACTCCTCGTACCTGACATGTCAGAATGTCTAAGTATCTGATGAGACCTATTCAAAGTTTGTTTAAACTAAGTTCCAAAACAGGCAGTAGCACTTTATCTGTTTTGCTCCCTGCTGTTTCATTTGGAACAGTGCCTGATTCAGTAACAAATAAACATTTCATACCATATTGAAGTTTGAGTGAGATAGCAAATTTATTGTGATCAAAATCTTAAAAAGAAATACTTTCACCGAATTTAAAATATACTTTTCAAAACAAGTTATGTCTATACAGAATATAAAATGCTTGATACTTTAAGAGGAGCAGCTGATTGCTCTCCTCCTCTCAGACTGTCAGTTGTGGAAACTGGCAAACCTAACTTTAATCCCACAATCAGTAGCTTAAAGAAACAAAAGCATGCTTTACCTTACAGCCTTCACAAGCATGAACTCCATAGTGGAATCCTGATGCCACATCCCCACAGACTTTACACAGTAGAACCATGCCACTAAACTCTAAGGCACAAACAGACACAAGAGTGAAAAGCTGGAAGAAAAAACTACAACTGTTTCATTTTCTTTACAATTGAATATTTTGTTTTATTCAACTTGTAAGTACTTTAATATACAAATCTATGTTTATAATGTAAAAGAAAAATCTTTACCCCAAATTAACAAATTAAAAGAAATCGTGGTTTTCTTTTAAACATTTTACGGCACTGCCAAAAATATCTCACAGAGCTGGTTTTTCCCTCCCTGATGGTTTTAAACATACACTGATTATTTAGAGTTACTTTACATCAGATATGCAACCAAACTAAGAAAACAATTCTGCTGGATAAGAATTAAGAAGTCAGGCAGAGATGTCAATCAATAAAGGTGCCAAGGGGTTTCTCCACAGGCTGCTCTACAGACACTCAGTTGAGCTCACCTGAAGGCACCAGACAGGCCCCATTCCTTCCTGATCCTGCCCTGTACCGGCCCATCTTACCTCCACCCTCACTCAGGGGTCCAAATTTCCACTACTCATTTGGCTGTCCCAATCCTCCTTTGTTTCCTAATCCCAAATGTTCCTAGGTCCAACTGCATGAACACAAACCCTTTTCCACGAGTAAGTACTCTGTTCTAAAAACCAGACTAAGAAGCGCCGAAGTGCTGTGCAATGGGGTACCCTAGAGAAAACATGGTCAGAGTACGTAGCCACGTATCTTGCTCCTTGGCAAGACTCAATTATGACAGCCCCTAAGCAGCAACTTTTAAGACCACCAATGATTTCTTATCTAATCACTCAACTATGATTACCCAGAAGAGAGTGAAAATTACACCCAAAAATAAAATGGTCCCCCAAATGAACAGCTGATAAAGCAAGCCCTGCCTACAGTTAGCGGTACCAACCCTTAGGAAGCCAACGTAACTTACTTGTCACTCCACTATGACTCTTTGTCATGCCAGGTGCACTCGATTTGCCTGTTTTCATAGAACAATCGATTCGATCCTTCTTCAGGATGCCTTCAGAGTTGGAGAGGTCAGCATTTTTGGGATTCCCGTTGTTATCAGAAGTAGTGCTATTTGGAGAAGATGGAACAGAGGAGGAGGAGGACTGGAAACTATTCTCAGAGCCCTCGCTGTGACAAGAGGCGGGGCTAGAGGCTGAGCTGGAAGAACTGATATAGGCAATCACACCTCCTAGAAAAGAGGGGCAAATCAGGTAATTAGACACACGATAACATATAGTTTCTACTTTTTGCAAATCTGAACAGTAAAGACACTAACTTTAGAAACAGGTTGATGATTAAAATTACCCCAAAAGGAAACAGTAACTTATTTCCTTCCCTATTTCCTACTACTCTTGCTTCCTCGAAGTTCAAAGCCATATAATTCCCACTGACTAGGCATTCTGAGCATATACAGATTCAAACCTAAAGTTTTTCATTTTCCAATCTATTCCTAAAAGGAATGAAAAACCTTCCTGAATGACACAGTTTAGGGTCAACAGGTTGTTTTGGCCGTGAAAAAATCTGGTTCTCGCCCTCTCTTTGCTTCCCTCATTATACCTTTATATGACTCAATCCCAGAACAATGAGTTCATCCTTTACCTTCCCCAGCACTTGGCTGAAACGAAGGTCAGTCAAGAACAGATTAACATTTGGAACTCCAGATAAAGTAATTTCTCCGGAAATGAAAAACCCTTCACGGCCGTTGCTCCCAAAATCTTTGTTTTGATGCTCCCTGAAGACTCTATGATTACCCACTAAACTCCAAGAAAACACTCTTTTCTCTCCACACACTTCTGCCATTGGACTTGCAGACACCCTTAACTCTAAGCAGCTCTTAAGGAATCCAGACTCACTACTTGCTTTCCTGACTCACTATTTACAGTAAATGTCAAAGAGGCTGGAAGGAGAATGCACGCTGGAAGCTAACTCCCTCTTCACGGAGCTACTCTCAGAACACTCTTCATAACTTCATTCATGTAACCTCCACAACCCCCTGAAAACTGGCCCAGACCTCTTAGAGACTGTAAATCTGCAAGGTTAAGAAATAGCATTTAGAATTACTCTTAGGGTATAATTTCAAACTTCTTCCCTCAAAGCAATAACATGTTGCAAGAGTAACCTGAGGGCCAAATATGTTATTTTTCTGAATCCCAGGCCAAACAAGTAATTCTCATCTTCTCTGCCGAGTTCTGCTGTGGTTTCTTTTTCTCTCTCCATCGTCAGCAAACATGTATTGGCTTTTTCAATGTGCATCAGATACAAAGGTTAATTATCTTTCTTCCATCACTGTCTTGAACTTTTATTTAAACCTACTGTTTTCCTGTTTCCATCTATTTCTCAACAAGAGGGACTATAAGCACCTAGGGTCTCTTAATTCTCTGTACATGCTTTACAGGTAATAAGCCTGCCATAAAGATTTCTAAGACCTACTTCTCTGTCTTTGTGAAGCCCACATCTAATAACATGGACAGATCCTTAACAGGATGAAACATCACTAGGAAGTCACAAGTAAAACAGGCATTTTTGAGAACCTAGATGACTATTTGAAAGAGAAAGTGGAGAATTTTACACATTCCCAAAGGAACAACTGCAATTTAAGCATTCACTCTGAAATGAAAACCTTCCTTGCTAGAGGGAAATGATTCCCCAATCTTTTTTTAGGTTAAGAGTCACACTTTTAAGTCATTCAAGTTCAAATACACACACACACACACACACACACACACACACACACACAGAGCAAAATGCTGTAGCCAAATCAATTCCAAAGAACAGAAAGACATTTCTGTTTACGGAGAACAAAAAAAGGCAAAGGAATTTTAAGTCACTTTTAGTCTGTCATGTTGACATTAGGAGCCAGATATATATTTAAGTACCAATTATATACATCCATGCCGGGAAGCCCTGAGAAGTAAAATGCTACCACAACTCTCAGGGAGTTTGATTACAAACCAGAAGAGAAGTTAAAACAGGTGCCTACTACGCCAAGAGAAACACAACAGTGATCATCATACATAGTAATATGCACAAATGCAACTAAATGTACTTGAGTCTTAAAGACAAAAAATATCAACAATGTGGACAATTCATCCACTTTCCACTCCTGAAGCATATGCCTGGCATCAGTCTTGCGGTGGAGGTATGAATCTGCTCTTTCTATAGTCTGATCCATTTCCAAATGCCCTTGACATGTGCTTATCACCTGCCCAGAGCGAAGCCAGTCATCCTCAAAGTGTGGTCCTGGACCAGCGGCGTCAGCATCACCTGGAACTCTCTTAGAAATGCAAGTTCTCAGGCCCCACTCCAGATCTATTCAATCAGAAACGTTAATCACCTTGGTGATTCTGAATCGCAGCGAAGCTTGAGAACCACTGTCCCAAGCCAACTACGTCATCTGTGCTCCATGGGAGAAAAAGCAACCAAGGGGAATTTTAATAATAGGAATTTCATCTACCACTGATTTTAAAATCTAAAAGCTCCTAACACTCCAAACACAAGAAAGAGATTCCTAACTTTGAATTTATTCCACCATTCGGAGAGATTATGCAAAATAAATATCATCAGAATCACCTGCTGCTTTTTTCAAAATACACGTTTCCAAGGCCCCGCCTAGACTACAGAAGGCACTCTCAGGATTGAGCACCTGAACAGGCTCTCCAGGTGATTCTCTGCACGCTGAAGTACAAGGACGGCTACAACCAGTGAATTCAAGCACAAACTGGCCCACAGCTTTCAGGGCTGATTTTTCAGACATAACTGCCTGAGTATCCCTAACACAAGGAGTCCAAAGAGAAATGATTTTAACCTGGAAGCCTATCAAATGTCATGGTGCTGGGTAAAACCACTGTGCCAGATGTTTTTATAAAACTTTAGAGATCTGAAGATCCCATTAGAAATTCCAGGTGGTAGCAAACTGCTACTTTTTTCACACTTGCTTCTGCTCAGAATGGGATACAAAGAAAAATATTATCCTTAGTCCTCAATAAATTCCCCCAAAATTCACAGCTGTCTGAAGTACTTCCTTAGGTAGTAAATTCACTAACATCTCATTCTCTCAAAACATGAGAAAGTAAGGCCTTCCTAGGGCCAGCATTTGAGTCAGCCATTTCTGTTCATAAGGTCTTCCACCTCCGCTTGGAAATGAACGCGCTATCCTGACGGCTTAAGAACCGGATTAAAGCCCTGACTGGGCAATGGAAGGTATTGTTACTAATTACCCAAATCGCGCCTGCCTTTGCAAAAGCTCCAAAATCACACCTAAGAAAAATTACTGAGCTACTATCAATCCAGTTAAGATTCAATTCCTGTCTTTAGGAAGTTCAACAATCATTTACAACAAGCATCTGCGCCAGGAGCCATGGAACCAAAGATGATCCACCGAGAGGCAGCTACATTCTCTTATCAAAACCTTCGGCACTGACTTGGCTGTCTTAGCACGTATCAGACACCAATCTACCAAGCTGATGGTGAGCAACCCAAATAGGTTAAATTTTAATTTCCTAGAAGGTAAGGAGTACATCTAGAAGTTCCTCAACTCAATGAAGAAAGGGAAGTGAAAAACACAAATCACCAAGAATGTAGAGAATAAAATGACACAATTTCACATCATATTTCATCCTCACAAGAACCCTATAGGTTGACTTCCATTACCCCATTTTACAGAAGAGGAACTCAGACTCAGAGAGGTTAGTAACACAGCTACCACGTGGCAGGGCCAGGGCTGAAGTCAAGGCTGTCTAATTCCAGAGTAGAGACTACTGTTTCTTACTGAGAGAACCTAGGCAAGCAAGTCACTTTCAGTCTCTCTAAACCTGAGTCATCTTCTACAAAATGGGAATATCTGCCTGAGTTATTACAAGATTGAAAAGAAATGGTGTTTATAAATGTGCTTTTTTACACGAAGAATTTTTAACGATAAAGCAAGAAAGGTCAAATCCCTGAACCAGCAAGTCCAACACCTCCAGAAACAGGCAGAATGTATCTTAGTTGCCTTGAGCTAAAATTAGCTGAGGCAGAGTCTTCTCTATTTTTAGTTGAAAAGGACCCTGGAGCTGGGCCAGGTTCCCAGGCTAGGGCTTACCCAGTGGTCAACTCCAGACAAGCCAATAGTCAACATCCAATTTTGTCCTGCTGGGAAGCACTTACTGTCCCTGCAGATACTGGGGTTTTCTTACTCTAATTCTAGACTTGCCCATCATCAAATTCCCCACTGCCCGTCATCCTGGAAAGTATGTTTATGTTCAAGTCATGACTATACTTTTTTTTGCCTGTGGCTTAAAACAAAACATTTTTAACCATTAAGAAGCTTTAGTTTTCTCAGGGGGAGGGTATAGCTCAGTGGTAGAATGTGTGCCTCACATGCACAGGGTCCTGGGTTCGGTCCCCAGTACCTCCATCAAAAGTAAATAAAAACCTAATTACGTCCCCCCCAAAAAATTTTTCTTAAAAAGCTTTAGTTTTCTCATTTTAAAAGTAAGTTATTAATAATTTCTACTCACAGGATGATAGAGTGGATCTAATGAAGCACTAAACTTCCAACTGTGTGCTAGTGTCAGGGCTCCAGAGAACATGGTCCCTTCCCTAAAACGCCTTTATAGGCCAACTGAGGACACAGCTATGTTAACCACTCATTCCAATGCAATGTGAGCAATGTTTCATACAAACTACTGTGACCTGCTGATGGCACAAGAGCACTATGGAGGGCAAAGATCAAGAGAGGTGAACACAGCCAAGGTGACAAGTGGGATCTTAAAGAATATGTAAATTATTAAAGGACATACCATGTAAGAGATTATTTAAGAAAACAAAGAACACAGTGACAAAAAACCAAAACGATCTTATCTTGTAAAACAGTGTTCTTGTCTTCATGTAAATGGGGGGGGCACAGGGGTAGTGTAATCTAGTGTCTGGGGAAAAAACCATACTAGCAACAAGATTAAAAAAAGAGGAATGATGAAATTGGGAGGCTCTGCTGAGCCCTGTCCTTTTTCCACCAGCTATGACCCTATACCACTGCAAACTGTATGGATGCATTCAGTATCTTCTTCACCCTCAAGAAGACAGGACCACCAAAGTTTTGCATATACCTTCAAATGTTCTATGGCTAAAACCTAGCACAGCACAGTAGTTACCTTGTGGTCCCCAAGTAGACTTTTTGGATTCAAAATCACGCTCTCCACTTGCCTGGGTAAGTTACTAAACTTCAATTTACTTAGACCCTCACCTTTAAGTAGTGACAGCAGTACTTTCTTTCATAGAATTCATGTGAAGTATCAAAGTAGTAACACATGTAAAGGGCCTGGCATATAAATGCTCAACAGATACTGGTGATTATTATTTTACCATCATTATACTGGAAGAGTTCGATCAGAATAGTTCAAACAAAACCAACCCTCCGTCCAATCTTCTTTCCTTCAGTTTTGAAGGTGACATCTGCACCCAGTGGGTTCTCTGTAGGTTTATTTCCACGCTACCTTCTGAATCCCTTAACTCAATGACTAGTCAAGCAACTTCCTGCTTCACTTCTGATTCTTCCCACTATCTATTGCTCTCTCTCCAAGTGAAGTTTTCTTTACTCTTACCTTCCTCTGATGTTTTCTTTCAAGTTTGGAGAAACATGGTAGAATAGATTTATAAAGATAAGAATGTGGGAATGTTTTCCTAATTTTTAAAATGTGCATTACAGCCGTGGTTATGAAGTTTGTGCAATAAAAAAACTGGTATACTCAATCAAAATCTGTGACAAGAATGTGGAGTCAATTTCTACAACTTCACTATTTCACATCTGTATTAGTCATGGAGAGGGCAGAGACACAATGTGTCATGATTTATAGGACAGAGAGAATGGTCACTGGTTGACTATGTATTGACTAATAAAATGGTATCCACCCAAAGGGAGGAGACAGAGGTGTGCCACACAGCACTGAACTCGGCCCCATCCTAGCAACATTTACAACAATCGGGAGGAAGTTAAAGGGAATGCTTATCAAAGTTCCCTCAGAAGGATGGCAGAAATTATTAGTATACTGGGTAACAGCTTGTGACAACCTGACCTTGAAGCCAAAAGGAGTAAGAGAAAATTTAAGAAGAGTAACCGCAAGTTCCTACAGTTCAGGTCAAACCATTATCTGCACGATGGATGAAACCTAGCTTCAAAACAGTTCACATGAAAAGGTTCTAGTTGACTGCAAGGTTACTGTGAGTCAGCAAAGCAATATGCCACAGAGGCCAAGCCTGCAGAGAATTCATTTACAGCAGAATTCCCAGCTTGGAACTTGGTAACCGTCCAACAACTTCCACAGGAGCCTGTTCACTTCTGGGTGCCACATCCCCAAGGGTAACAAGGATGACGATCAGAAAAAAACAACAGAGCAAGGACCAAGAGCTGAGAACTGACAATGGAAGAACTGACAGGGGATGGGAGCAGGAAGCCGGTGTCAATAATCATCCAAATGAAATGTAATCATTTGTAGCCACAAAAGCCAAAATTAACATCGGACATTATGTTCCAGTAAAGTTCAAAACAGAAAAAAAAACCTTTCTAACCACCTGGGCCGCCCACCTTGTCCGATTGCAAAGCTGGAAGAATTCACTTACGCTGGGTTAGAGGGGGTTGAACCTTACAATCTCTAAATTCTGACCAAGTGAAACTTCAATTCCATGATAGATTTACTCAAATTTTTAAACTATCCTCCAAGGGGTAAGTAGGCCCACAGGTAACGAAAACACAGAAAAATGACTTTTTTCACTGTTGGTGGAAAATTCACAATGTTAGGAGGGTATGGTTTCTAGAACACGTAACTTAAAAAAAAATAACTGGCTGCTTCTGCAACCTCATTGGCTTCAGGGAAGGGCCATCCTTCGTCCAGGGGCAGACAAAGGGCAGAAGGGAACCCGGAATTGTTCTGTGGCGCTGAAACAAGACAAGAGAAGGACTGATCAGGTCAAATTTTGTTAATCAGATTCGGGGAAGGCCTGCGAGCCATGAGTGTAAAAAAAAAACTACGCGAACTGGCAACAGCCAGCCTTACGGGAGGCCTGGGAATCACTCGGGGTCACCTGAGTCACTAAGGCCGGTACCCGCTCACAGGCTCCCAGCCCGAGGGGACCTTCGGCCCGCTTTTGTGACGGAAGGCGTGTAAGGCAGGTCGCGGCCCAGAGGAGGCCACTGAAACAATGAATTTTTTTTATTTTTTATTTTTTTGCAAATTCGAGGCAGCACTACCACGAGGGCGGTTGTGGGCCCGTCCGCCGGGCGTCGCTCGGGAGCCACGCACCCTCGAGCGCCGGGGAGGGTCTGGCGTCGGGGAAGCCCCACGCCCTCCCCGCCGGCCCTCCTTCGGCCACGGGCGCGCCCA